TGGATCTATGGGTCTATGGATCTATGGGTCTAGGGGTCTATGAGTCTAGAGGTCTATGGGTCTATGGATCTAGGGGTCTATGGGTCAATGAGTTTAAATGTGAAGTTTAAAGAAGTCGGAGCAGGAAGTTCTTCCCTCCTCTGGATCTGGAGCTTCGAGGTCCTCCTCTGACCTTTGTCGTGGTTCTGCTGTTCTCTGCTCAGCTGATCCATGGCGGCGCTCATGGCAGTTCGTACCAGCGCACGTGCCGTCTGAAGCAGCTGCTGCTCGCTGAGGTCCAACAGAAGGTGCAGGTGGTTCTCTGAGGGGGAGACGCTGTCCCAGACCTCCTCCTCTGGAGGACAGACCTCGATCCGGATGGAGGGTCCGTTCATGGAAGGTCCAGCAAATTGGGAAGTTTGAGTTGTTTTCTCCTCATGATGGACCTCAGCTTGGAGCAGATCATGAAGGTCCACTAAGACCTGGGAGTCACTGAGGACCTCATTGTCCTCTGAAATAACCTCCACTGGCACCTGGTTTATGTGAACAGTCTGGACCGTGTCTGGTTCAGTTCTTGTTAAGACCTCTTCTGGTGTCTCTGTTGGTGGTTCTGGACCTTCTGCCACCTGGCTCTCCGTCAACTGGACCTTCATCTCAGCTGTGACCATCATGGCCTCCAGACCCCCATCAGTTTCTTTGTTCAGTGGTTTGTTGGGTTTGGACTGGTCCTCTTCCACCCTCGTGTCCTCCAGGTGCCCCAGCGGGTCGCATCGTTTCCTTCCTCCTCGGATGAAGAACTTCTGAAGTTTCTCCTGGAAGCTCTTTGCAGATTTGTCTCCTGGGCTCTGATTCTGAGCTTGCTGGACGTCTGACGTTATGAATCTTCTGAGCACCTTCCTCATCTTCACCTTCTTCTCTTTGTCGTCTCCTCCGTCGTTCTGTGGAACCGTCTCAGGTTTCTGTAGCTCCCCTTCAGATGGACTCTCCAAACTGTTCCTGACCTCCTCCTTCTTCCTGATGCAAAGAACCGTTGAGGAGAACCAGCTCCACCATCTGGATCTCTTGCTGCTCCTGTAGCGCCCCCTGCAGGTCAGCTCATCTGCCCTCTCTGGTCCAGCAGCTGAGCACCAAGCTGCAGTTTCTTCAGGGTTCTCCTCTTGTTTAGACTCTGATCGGTTCTCCTTTGTGCTCCTGGTTCTGGTTCTGTCCAGCAGCAGCCTCGGCGGTCTTGTTGGCTTCCTCTTCAAGGCCCCTCTGTCTTCCTTCTGAACGTCTCCTCTGTCCTCCACCAACATGTTTGGTCTCCTTGGAGAAGCTAAACGTTCTTCCTGCTCCAGGTGCTTCTCTGTGGACGACCAGGTGAAGCACCAGCAGGTGAGATCAAAGCTGCAGGAACAGAACCAGATGTTGATTCATGACCGGTGCAGCAGCTGGAAGATGTGATGTCACCACTTCCTGTCACAAACAGCTGATCTTCTCACTGATTTAAAACTAGTTTGGACAAAAAATAAAATAACTAAGCAGAACATCAGCGAATAGAAGAAAAGGTTGAACATGTCACTCAGGTTTGACCAGAACTTCCACTTCTCTGAAATTATTAAATACAACCTGACTTTTAAAAAGTTCTGAATGTTCTGTGAATAAAAACTGAACGCAGTGAGCTGCAAATCTAAAAATAAATAAATACATTTGACCAACGACAGAACATTTTAAACATCAAATCTTTACATTT